AAAGAGTACCAAGTAGCCCTAGCCGGTTTGGCTCAGTGGTTAGAGCATCAGCTTTTGGACTGAAGGATCTCAGGTTCAATTCTGGTCAAGGGCACTTACCTCGGTCGAGGCAACCAATTGATATGTCTCTCTCACACTGGTGTCTCTCTCTCTCTCTCCCTTCCACTCTCTGAAAAGCAATGGGGAAAATATTCTCAGGTGAGGATTAAAAAAAGAGAGAGAGAGTACTAACGAGTGGAGGCATTAATCAGGAGCTAAGAGGGCTGAGCACACAGTCAGGCTCTCTTATTCTCTTATTCTCTGAAATTTTCTATGCCTTTGAATTTCACCTAATACTTATGTTTTAAAATATCTATCAAGCTTATCGGTTATGTCTCTGTCACTCAAGGTCCTATTTCCTGCAGCTATCTGTAGTAAATAAAGACTTCGAATGGGTTTCTAAAACAGCCAGTCGGGTAGGTTGCTTTCATCCACACTGTGGTAGTGTCCCTAATGTCTCTGGTCATGTTATAATAGCTACTTTTTTTAAAAAATTGATTTCAGAGAGAGGAAGGGAGAAGAAGATAGAAACATCAATAATGAGAGAGAATCATCGATCGGCTGCTTCCTGCATGCCCCCTACTGGGGACTGATCCTGAACCCAGGTGAGGAATCAAACCATGACCTCCAGGGCCATGGGTCGATGCTCAAACATGGCTGGGCAATAGCTACTCTTTATTAAACCCTACTAACATGCCAGGTACTACAATAAATACTTTACCCCCAATCCTCAAAAAAAATCTGCTAGGTATGTAGTATTCTTCCTTATTCTCATCTGATACAGATAAGGACACTAAGGGTCAGAAAGGCTGCCCTGTGCATTAAGTGGCAGAGCTGGAAGGTGAATCTGGCTTGTCTGGCTCTAGAGTCCATGCTCTTTCCATGAACCATAATCCCCTGATTACTTCACAATCATATTTCCTCTTACTTGTACAATAAAAGGTCATTAGCTAAAGTGACCTAAAACAAGAAAAATCTAATTTAGTAAAAAAATCAATTTGGATATTTTTTAAATGATCACTTTTGTTTCTAAGTAAAGGTCTCTCCTTAAGTCTATCTAAATGAATACTGTGCATTGAAGCCACTTGTATTACACAGCAATCATCCAAACTATAGGTTAAAGGTCTTAAAAGACATTTACATTTCTTCCTTTCTGAATCCCAGTGCCCAGAGTAGGCACTTAACAAAAATATCTTGAATACCACCTCCCTCAAATCTTGTTTACCAAAATACTCTACTAATAAGGAAGATACATTCTAACAAGACACTTTAATATCTGAAACTTCATGACTAAAATTAAATGTAATATGAAGGTCACTGGGATATCTTTCCTGCCAACAGACACTTTCCTCCAAGTCAAGTAGAACTGTCATCATCAAGTAATTATTAAACATCCACAAATATTTATTCAGCATGGTAACTCAGTATCTTTCTCTCCTCTCTCTTTCCTCATCAGGTTTGGCAAGCCACGGAAGCTATAGTTCCCCTCCAAGCAGGCCAGCCTCTGTAGGTGTAGAGACCATACAGAGGCACAAATGTCACACATGCTTAGACAGCTATTCCAAGTCAAACAAACACAAAGGCCCCAGGAGTGTGACCTTTCCCTCAACCAGACATGTCCCAGCACCTCTTCCTGGAGCCCTGAAATTGCAGCCTGAATAACTACTTCCTCCTCAATCAACCACCCAACACTGAGGAAAGCAGAAATTTCTCCCAATGTCTGTCATATCTATTCCTACTTCATCTAAAGGAGATCGTTTGTTCACTAAAGATTCACAGAATGTGTCAGCATATACTATTAAATTTTTTCTTTAAAAACCCTATTGTCATAGGGATATGAAGTACACAGAATACGTGTGTACTACAGGGGAAAGTACACTAGTCAGGAAGCTGGGTTCTCTTCCACTACACCTTACCTTCCATTGCAACTTGGGCAAGTCAGTTATCCTCTCTAGGCTTTAGTTTCCTCAGCCATGAAATGAGGGGTTGAACTAGTCAGGGGTTATTCACCTGGGTCTAGGATGCCTTGCAGGGGTCAGGCATGTGCTTTAGGGGTTCATACTCCCTTCACCCGGGAACTTATATAAAAAATTACCTGTTCACATATGTGGATTTTTCTGGAGAAGTTTATGGCTTATACCAAACTGTCACACAAGTAGTGGTCCAAAACTTAACGATAGTTCATGTTTTATTGAGTACTTACTATGTGCAAGGCACTGTGCTAAATCCCTACATATATTAATTCAAGGAACCCTCACAATAACCCTTTAAGTTAGATACTATTATTATCCTCATTTTACAGCAGAGTAGAGTAAACCAGAAAAGGCCTGGCTCTTAAACACAATGTTATGTTACGTGAAATCATCTCTAAACCCTAAAATTCTCTGATTCTATGTTCTTTCAAATTATCATTAGTCCTACTTTTATTTAAATCTTTATACAGAACAACCAAACTCATGGAACACCCAGATAAATACAGTACTACCTGAAAAAGAACATATTAAGGGGTTAATCCTAATAAAGGACCCAAAGGCACTTTCTAGCTCCAGCAGCCAATCTGCTTTTACTTTTATAAAATGGTGATTAACTAAAAGACGTATCTGAATCTATTACTAATTCAAGTCTAAAATCAAAGTAACAGTAAATAAGTCAGAGTGCCAACCAGAAGAGAGGACACAGTGGCAGCAATAGTGTCTCACATATCACGCACCAACACAATAAGACCAGGGAAAGATGCAAAAAAAGTGAAACATAAAAATGATAAATAGGTCTCTATCAAAATTAAAACCCTTTTCTCTTTATAAAAAGACACTATTAAGAAAGTGAGAAGGCAAACTTCAGACTGGAAGAAGATATTTGCAACACATATATCTGGCAAAATACTTATTTCCAGAATATACAATGAATTTGTACAATTCATTAATAAGAAATCAAATAACCCAACTTACAGATAGGCAAAAGATTTAAACAGATACTTCACAGAAGATATGCAAATGGCAAGTGAATACATGAAAAAGATGGTCAACATCACTGGCCATTAGGAGAAAATGCAGATTAAAATCACAGTGAGACAATACTACATACTCATTTGAATTAAAATGAAAAAGACTAACACCACCAATTGTTGGTGAGGATGTGAAACAACTGGAACTTACCCTCTACTGGTAGGAATATAAAATAGTACAGTCACTTTGGAAAATTATTTGGCAGTTTTAATGCAGTTAGACATACATATAATTATGATATGATCCAGCAATTCCACTCCTAAATACTTACTTTCCCAAGAGAAATGAGAACCTATGTCCCCACAGACTTGCATATGAATGCTCAGATCAGTATTATTCACAATAGCCATAAAACAGAAGCTATGCAAATGTTCAACAGGTGAATGGATTTTTTAATGTGGTAAATTTATACTATTGACTACTATTCAGCAATAAAAAAAAATGAACTACTGATACATGCAACATGAATGAATCTCAAAAATATCATGATGAGTGAAAGAAGGCAGATCCAAAAAGTACATATATATAATTAAACTGCAAACTGATCTACGACAGAAGGCAGGTCAGTGGTTGCCTAGAACCAGGAGCAGATTGAGATAGACTGCAAGGGGCCATGGGGAATAACTTGGGGGTTATGAAAAATTCTGTATCTTGCCTGGCCGGCGTGGCTCAGCGGTTGAGCACAGACCTATGATCCAGGAGATCGCGGTTGGATTCCCGGTCAGGGCAACATGCCCAGGTTGCGGGCTGGATCCCCAGTCGGGGTGTGCAAAAAAAAAAAAAAAGGCCAAGGAAGATACATTAGTACAAGGCAGGGGTGTCCCATGTTAACTGGCTTCTCCCCCTACTCCCACTTCCTGAAAACCACTGACCACTGTGGAACCAAGGCCTGTATCACTCTCCACTTGAGATACAAAACTAGCCGGCTAAAGGTATTACGGCATCGCCAACCCCCGCTTGGAATAAGGAGTGAAAACTAAGTGAAAGCCTAGCTTCCAGCTTTTGCGGACACCAGTTCTGACGGCCCGCAATGGTAACACAGGGGTCCGCAGTGATCCAGTTACGCCTGCCACCTCTTCTGCCCAAATTACCGAGGGACACAGCAGTACTTAGTCACTGGCTGCAAAGCAGAAGTGGACCTTGCAAGTTCTTTTCACGGGCTGTCAAAAACCTCCACATCTTAAAGGGGAGGTTGCTGAAACTTTATGCCCAACTCTCTTGACCTTTCTCCATTTAGTCTGCGTAATGAGGAGAAGCAAAGGAGGGAGAACGGAGATCAAAGAAATGGCCCTGGGTGCAAGGGTATCTTTTTCAAGGGTGATGCAACAGGGTCAGCCAGGCGGCGGAGAGGAGCTGGGAGCCTCTGGGAAGGAGAAAAACAGCGTTGGAGTTGGAAATCTGAGCGGAAAACGGGTTATGAAGGACTGGGTGCGAGGTGATTTCGAACGGGCCGGGGCTAGAAGGTCTCGTCTGGAGCAGTCGGAGGAAGGACCGGCGGCAGCAGAGGCCGGGGGGTGACGAGGCGGCAGAGCGCCGGAGGAGCGGCGGCGGGTCCACAGCCCGCGGAGGCAACCAGCAGGGCGGGCGGGAAAGGCGGCAGTCGTGGGGGCCTCGGCGGGACCGTCACAGGGCCCAGGGGACGAGCAAGGGAGGTCGGGGCGGCCAGCTCCGCGGTGTGGGAACTAATGGGGGGGTCCGGGGGATGGGGAGCTGTTAAGTTGGGGAGGAGAGGGGGACAGCAGCGCCCGAACCCGAGGGCCCAGGGCGAGGGAAGAACAGGGTGGTGACAACGGTCGGGGTCAGCGGAGCGGGAAGGCTGTCCGGCTCGAGCTGCGGAGGGGCCGCCCGGAGCCCCGGCCCGGGTGAAGAGAGGGCGGCCGGGCCCGGAGCACAGCGGCGGGAGGAGGGTCGAGGGGGTGAGGAAGGGCCGGGGACGCTGCGGGCGAGCGCTCTCACCGGGACAGGTGCTTCAGGATCTGCTTCTTAATGATCCCGGCCATGCCGGAGCCGCGTCC